TGGCAATTGAAGTTCAGTGCTTACACACAGTAGATATGGTATAAGCAAGGGTCAGTGCTAGTTTGCCTGTATTTTCCTACCTATATGCTTTACCTCTGACTCTCAAGAGATGAAGTATTAGTTCTATTTCCAAACCTATTCAGGTTCCAATAAGCAAACTACTTAAGAACATGCTTATCTTTAAGTGTGTGAATAGTCTTATTGATTTCAGTGGGATCACTATGAAATGGGACTATTCACTAAAATTAGTGGGACTGCTCATGCACATGGTGGGACCTGAGTCACTGCCTTTTTTTGCTGAGACTCCAAAGAAGGATGCCAGTTATCCATGATGTTTATGATCTGGACATCTGGCTATAGGGAAATAGATTAGGGCAATCAAACTCTTACATTTAGGCCACTGAACAGTCTTCAGATAATAGTAACTTCTAATCAGTACTAATGTGGATCTGAAATAGAAATCAAAGAGATGAAATGTCTCATACTATTACTAATCACCTGAACTGCCCATACCTTGGCAAATTGCATCTCTCCATATATCTTAATTTTTCTGTGAAAGGGGTATTTCATTGATTTCTTGTATTGTGACAATTACAAAAATAGATGAGCTAAAAATACATACATGAGCAACTGCTCATTACTTGGTGTTTCATTTCCCTAGAGAGGTTGGCGGGGTGAAGAAGTAAACGACTATTATTTAATCAGTATAGGCTCCCCTCCCCTTCCTTAATTTTCCTGATTTTTATGTAAATAATGATACAGTGCAGAACTGACAGTAGAAAATTATTTGACTTTTAATTTTGTCCATCTCTGAAGTAAATATAACAATGCTTCATTAACTGCAAAAGGTCTGCAATGTTTAAGAGGAGTACCCATATTGATAAACACAGGTTCTCTCAAGCAACAAAATGATGTGCATCTCCTAAAGAAACTGAATAGTATCATAGTAATAGAAATGTAGCCGTGTTAGTCTGGTGTAGCTGAAGCATATCCTTTGGTATATATGGTTGTGACTATTTTCTTCCACTATTTGATCTGAGGAAGTAGGTCTGGCCCACGAAAGCTCATCATCTAATAAACCATCTTGTTAGTCTTTAAAATGCTACACAGTCCTGTATTTTGAATAGCATCAGTCTTTCTGTTGGGTTTTTTCATCCTTCTTCTGAAAATATTCTGATTTCTAAAGTTTCACACTAATTTTGGAACCTGTGTGCAACTGCACATTTGATGGATTTGTGATTACATTGCAGCTGCCAAACAACATTCCACTGAAGTCTAAATATTGTTGAGCCATATTTCTAGGGCTGAAAGTGGCACATGCTTTACAAACATTGTGGCACCAAACCAGTTTAAATCTTTCCATTGCTTTGATTATATCTTCATTGTTACACCAGCACTTTTTAAAAGTGGAGTTGATTCGAAAATGAGGGGGAAATGCTATTTTTTTCTAAAAGAATTTTCCCTTTTTTGTTGAAAAATTTCTAATTTAGACGTTCAAAAATTTGATCAGATTTGAGAGCTTGCTTTCAGGAACCATTGATTTATTTTAGAGCTGTTTTTGGTACATGAAAATATTGTATTTGGACATGGCTGTGATTTATAATGCTGTTGTGTAATGCCTTAAGTTCTGTGAATGTACAGAAGTGCTTACTACCTGGATCTTCCAGAACCTCAACTCTCATGTCCCAATTGCTAAACAATCTATACTATTGTATTGTCATTTTATAGTAATTAGCCTAATGAAGAACATTGCCATTTTTCCCTTTCTGAGATAGAATAGGAAAAGACAGTAAAGAATAATTGGGACTC